GAATTTTCGCGCATTCCTCCCTTACTTACCTCTCTTTCTCTCCCCGACTGTCTTGCTGTCTGTTCAAACTTTTCTTCCTGTAACTTCAGGTAGGTTCTCTCTCTTTTCTAAATTCTCAAATTTTGAACCTAGATTTTGTGTTTTTAATCACTATTATCTTACTGATACTTAAAGACTACTGTTGTAATCAGGTATCTTTTGATTTTTTTTGTTCAATTTGATTGTAATTTGCCTTTAATTTTACAATTCTCGCAATTAGAGTGTAAAATTACAATTTGATATAAAAAATTTGATTTTTAGTAATAATTCGAACAATTATTAATTAGTTTGTGAAGAAATAAGGCTATGCCTATGTGGTATTGGTAGGCTGGAAGATTTTTATATTTTATTGTAATCATGCATTCTCAAAAAATAAAAAAATAAAAAAGAATATCAGGATTTGATTCTGTGATGTTTTTCAGGCACGCTGCGGGGAGTTGGTTGGACATAGTCGTAAAGGAGGCGGGGAGTGAACTTTTAGCTGCTGTTGGCTACATTTGTTTTTTATATATATATATATTTTGTTTGTTAGAGATGGGGTGGGGAAACATTTACAGGAGACGTGCGAAAGTATTTACTTTGGCCTTGATAATTTACATTGATTATAAGGTACGAATCAACCGTATTGAAAGTCTGATTATGAGTTATTTATTTTGAGTGATGCTTATTGCTTATGCTGATTGTGGTGGTTGTCTTTTTTTATAATGAAGGCTTTACAGAAAAGAGAGAAATTCATGAAGAAACCGAAAAGTGATGCATTGTGGAAGAAGGCCCATGAGCGGAATGCTAAGCGTGTTTTTAATTTGATGGTAGAGTTGGAAGGTTTGTGGGTGAAACTTGGACAGTATTTGTCCTCACGTGCTGATGTGCTTCCTTCTGCTTTCATTTCAATTCTCAAGCAGTTGCAGGACTCTCTCCCTCCTCGTCCGTTTGAAGAGGTTTTGTTTTAGTCTTTTTCTAATAGATTTGGAAGTCTTCATGTGATTCGATGTGACTTTGTTGATTTAATGTTTCTGATTAGTTTTTATCTCATAATGTTAGCTGTTTATTTTCAAGCCATGTTTCTCATTGGTTGGTTCTGTTAAAATTTTTGTTTGCACACAGGTTTGTCACACTATCGAGAAAGAACTAGGGAAATCCACGAAGGAGCTTTTCTTGGATTTTGACAAAAATCCTCTGGCAACAGCATCGGTAAGATCCTTAGACTATATTTTTGTGCTAGGAAGTTAGCGTGGATGCTCATTTAGGATTGAAATTTTGATTTTCTTGCTCTCACAAGGTGTGTACATTTTGGAATAATCTTGTTGTTCTCATGTTATATTCTATGCAGATTGCACAAGTCCATCATGCGACATTAATTGATGGGCAGAAGGTGGTTGTTAAAGTTCAACATGAAGACATCAAGAAAATCATATTGGAGGTTTGGAAACTCTTTGGAGTTTGGCTTTTGAGATACTGCATCGGAAAGCAAATGTTTCAGTCGTTATGGTTGTTTTGCATGCCTTTTTTTTTTGCAGGATTTAAAGGATGCAAAATCCATTGTTGACTGGATAGCATGGGCAGAACCGCAGTATAACTTCAGCCCTATGATCGATGAATGGTGCAAAGAAGCTCCAAAAGAACTCGACTTCAACCACGAAGCAGGTAAACTTTGTCTTTTGCAATATTTCTGTGGATGAAATTCTGTTGATTTGCTATTTTATGTTCTTTTACAACCAATAGATAATAAATGTGAGCTCTGGCTGGGTCTGGATGAGGGTATTGAGATTTGGGATTCATATCAGGAGCTTGAAATAACGATAATGAAATCCAATCATTGGGACAGTTAAATCTGATTATGTTTAGAATCCATACCAAGTGCTGCATATTAATTTTTTATTGAAGCAATGAAGTGAATGGGATGATAGCTGTGTCGTGTCAGCAGTGAGGATAATTGATGGTGGCAGTTGTGGTGATCATATTTGGATTTTAGTGGTTGTATATACTCTCTGAATGTGGAGGCAACAACTTTGCTTGATGGATATGGTGCAATGAGGGTGGCAGCAGCAGCAATGATGGTGGCAATGTGAGGGTAACTTTAATGACAGTGGTCAAGGCAGTGTGGTGGTAGCAGTGCAATGGCAGTGGCATGGTTCTAGTGGTGATTTGGTGGCAACTCATGTGAGGACTTTGGAATGGTGCTGGTAGTGCTAATGGAAGCATTAGCATTGGTGCTATGTTGCAGTGGTGAGCTTGGATGTTGTAGAGATGAAAGTGATGGTTGGCAACTGTGTATTCAGCCATTTTCTAGCATGTTCATGAAAGTGAAACTCCAACTCACTATACTGAATTCAGTGTAGGACATTCCCAATATATTTATTAACACTGTGCAGAGACAATGCAAGGAATTTAAATTCTTTAATCTTGTCCTCGACTTATATTCTCTTACTGTTTTTCTTATCAAGTACATCATTGTGTTTCTCTACTGTTCAGTGTACCTTTCTCTCTTACTGATTCTGGTCTATTGTATTTGTAGAGAATACCAGAACCGTGTCTCAAAATCTTGGCTGCACAAGCAAATATGATAGCAACAAGCCCATCAATCAAGTGGATGTTTTGATTCCAGAGGTTATTCAGGTATCATTTTGCTCTCATGTTTTGACATAACAAAGTTGCTTGCTCGAGTGTAACCTAATACAGATGGTTTCTATATATATTTTCAATGAGTGGATCTTAAATAGTGAATTCCTTCTAACCCTAACTGCTTGGTGCCTTTTTTGCTATTCTTATTTTGATAATGATCCTTCAATCTTTTCACTCTTTCTGACTTTGCATCATGTTCCTCTCATTAACAGTCGACAGAAAAAGTTCTGATTTTGGAATATATGGATGGAATTCGCTTGAATGACTTTGAATCCCTAGAAGCTTGTGGTGCTAACAACCAAAAGATTGTTGAAGAAATCACACGGGCCTTTGCCCATCAAATATATGTTGATGGGTTTTTTAATGGTGACCCTCATCCTGGTACACCTCTCTCTCTCTCAACTACTGCTCTAGTGTTTGCTTACCAATAGTATATAAGGAAAAAAGAAAACAGAATCCCTGGCTGTTTCCTCAGACAAGGAAAGAAAAAGAGAATGTGTGTCCAAATTTTCTCTTGTTGATGTTTATGTAACACCTGCGATATGCTTTCAGGGAGCTATTTTAATGAATGAAATTTGATTACGGGTCTGAAATCGAAAATCAAAACATATGTTCTTTCTCCCATTTCAAGTAAAACACATGCATGTTGATGACACCATCGTTGATGTTTATATAACACCTGCAATATGCTTTCAGGGAGCTATTTCAATGAATGAAATTTGATTACGGGTCTGAAATCGAAAATCAAAACATATGTTCTTTCTCCCATTTCTCTTATGCACGTTGCTCTACCCTTTCTTCTATCCTATTCTCCCTAGTTGCGCCCTAAATCAGAATCAGTTTACTCTGTTGAATGCTTTTATATTGGTTGTGGGGGAGGTGA